CTCGCCTGCCGACCCGCCACTGAGCCTGACTCGCCTGCCGACTCGCCACTAAGCCTGGTTCGCCCGCCGACCCGCCACTGAGACGCAACCACCCACCTGCAGAGTCATGTCGCTGAGCACGTTGGCCTCGATGCAGCGGAGGAACATGTCATCCTCCATCTTGTCCAACTGCTCGACCTCGTCGGCGACCTTGGAGTCGTCCGAGTTTATGATGCGGATGCGCAGCACCAGCTTCTCGGCGTTTTCGTCGTTGAAGATGCAGTTCAGGTCGTCGCCGAAGCCGGCGTTGATCTTCTCAGAGATCTGCTCCATGGTCAGCCTCTGGTCTGCGGCCGGCAACGGGGTGATGAGGCGGCGCCAGCGGATGGCAGGTGTCGACACAGAACACGGGCTTCGCAGTCCAGACAGCTGGCTTCCGGCACCCAAAAGGAACCTGGCTGGCATTCGGTAACAGGATCGGCAAACCAAAGGACAGCCAAAAACAGTGGCAAATTGTCGTCGGATGAAATTTGACAGAAACTTCTTCATAAGTCACTGAAAGCATAACTGAATGTCGCGCCTCATTCTTGCTTGACAATTAGGTAAGGCTGTTACGAGCTCAGGTATAAATCCGACAGCGATAATTCAGTCATTCAATCGTTGCCGTCGCAAACACACATTTGCTCAGGCGCTCCGTGAAGGGATGTAAACTGCAGTTCGTCTTGATCACTTACAGCCGAAACTGAACCGCAAGCGTTTGACCACATATATAGACGCTGACAATACATGTGGTCAAACCAAGGCTATCAACTACGCGCGAACGCCAAGTTTCGAGCTGTCGAGAGATTTCGAGCCAACACGCCACGAGTTGAAATTTACCGCCGCATTTCAGTTAGCCATACTAAAGAACCTAGCGCGAGGAGTCCAAACACATATCCACAAAGAAAAGAAACTTACTCTTTTATTCACCTATCTGAAAAATATATTTGTTTTGGACTGACATGTCATAAACAAGTCGCAGCAGCACCAGAGATCGGATCGAGCATGACCGGCGACACCAGCCCCACCGGCCGGCACTCACCAGTCATCCGCTTGCGGTCCAGCTCGATACGCAGCAGCCAGGGGGAGATGCGGGTGAGGTCGAAGTCGGGCATCTTGCAGTAGAAGCTGACGAACTCCTGGTCCTCGGCGATCACCGTGTCCTGTGGGTCGGGGTCGTAGTAGATGGCCTTGTTGGCCATGACCTTTCGCAGCGTGGAATGTTCCAGGCGACACAGCACGTTCTTGGCCTTCTCTGCGTCGCGCGCGCTGGCGCCCGTCAGAAACACCGTCAACGAAGGCACTTTCGGCTTCTTGCTTACGTTGATAATCTCCTTGAGACGCGGCACGGCGAGCGTCACGTTCTTGGACGACACGCCAGCGAAGTGGAATGTGTTGAGCGTCATCTGCGTGACGGGTTCGCCGAGCGACAGGGCGGCCAGGGCGCCCACCATTTCGCCTGGGTTGGTCATGGCCTCGGTGGAAGCGCGTGTCGATCTCGGCGATCAGCCACTCGAACGCCTCCGAGCTGAGCCGGTACTCCTCGGCCACGCGGCGCGTGCACAATGTCGAGCGTACTAGGCAAGAGAACAGGCTGGTGGCGTTGGCGTTGGCCGTCTTAGAGAGCTGGTCTTCGCCCCGCACCACCACGCAGCGCGACAGCAGCGTGCGCACACCCTCCAGCACCTTCAGCGGTCTCAGGTCGGTCGGCTCAGCCTTCTTGATGTGGAAGATCTTCTGGCTGTTCCAGATCATGCGCTCTAGGTTGCAGGGCAGTACGACGCGGCTCTCACCGGTGGGGAATATTTGGCGCAGCTCCTGCCGGTCGCGCGAGAGGCTCTCCCACTCGCGCTCCAGCTCGCCGATCATCTCGGCCGAGCCCATCAGATCGCGCACGATGTCCTCCTGAAAGATGCGCCGCAGGTGCCGCTCGTTGGTCGTCTCGAACTTGAACTTGCGCCGGAACGCGGCGTCCGACAGCTTGATGGTGGGCAGCGACTGAAACTCAACGAACTCGCCGGCCAGGCCGTCCTCGCCGTAGCGCAGCTGCACCAGCTGCGCCGCCGAGTTGCGCACGGTGCCGTCGTAGTTGACCATGACCGACTCCATGGCCTTGATGAGGCGACGCTGGATGTAGCCGGTCTCGGCCGTCTTCACACCTGTGTCGATCAGACACTCTCGGCCGCCCATGGCGTGGAAGTAGAACTCGGTGGGCGTCAGGCCGGCCAGGTACGAGTTTTGGACGAAGCCTCGTGACTCCGGTCCATAATCGTCCTTGACGAAGTGCGGCAGCGTGCGCTTGCGGAAGCCGAAAGGGATCCGCTTGCCTTCCACGTTCTGCTGGCCCACGTACGCGATGATTTGAGTGATGTTGATGGACGAGCCCTTGGAGCCGGCCACCACCATGGCCTTGAGGTTGTTGTACTCGCTGAGCGAGTTCGTGGCGAAGGCGCCGGTTTTGTCGCGCGCATTGTTGAGAATGCGGTTGGCATGGTTCTCGAACGTCTGTCGCAGCGTGTTGCCGGGCGTGGGCTCCAGCTCGTCGTTGTGCGCCTTCTCAATCACCTGGATCACGTCCTCCTTGGCATTGCGGATGCCGCTCTGGATATCGGAGTAGGTCTCCGGGTCGGAGATGGTATCGTCGATGCCGATCGAATGTCCCTCGTACAGCAGCCAGGCGTTTACCACCGACTGGATGTCGTGGTAGAAGTGGCCGCAGATTTCGTGGCCCAGCTCCAGCCAGCAGATGTGCAGAAGCGAGCCGGCCGACGCGCCCAGCGACTTCTTGCACAGAATGCCCATGACCAGCTCGCCGTTGTCGACAAGCACCTTGGTGTCGCCGGGCGAGATCCACTTGTAGGGGCCGTGGTCTTCGTCGTCCGGGTGCAACAAGTGCGTGCGGATCATGTTCACTTTGCCCGGGATGATGAGCGAGAACAGCTGCTTGCCGGTCCACAACGGGCGCGGCTTGACCACGGCCGGCACCGGGATCTTGCCGTCCCACGTCGGCAGGAACATGAGCAGGTTCATCATCTCCTCCTTCTCTAGAAATACGTTACGCTTGGTCATCTTGCACACGGCCGTCAGCGTGTCCTGCACGATGCCCATGACGGGCTTGTTGGACTGCGGCGTGATGATCATGCGCGGCGTAACGTGCATGTTTTCGATCTCGGCGCGCGTCTCTATCGACTGCGGCACGTGCAGGTTCATCTCGCCACCGTCAAAACCGGCGTTGTAGGGCGAGGTGACACTGAGATTGATTCGAAATGTCGACCAGGGCAGTACCTTGACGCGGTGGCCCATCATACTCATCTTATGCAGCGTCGGCTGCCGGTTGAAGATGACCAGGTCACCGTCGACGATGTGTCGCTCCACTTTGTAGCCGCACTGCAGGTGCAGGTCAGACGGCTTCCGGCGGAAGCGCAGGTCAATGTGCTCGCCGTTGTCGCGGATTATGTACCTGGCGCCCGGGTACTGGTCGTTGCCTCGCTTCACAAGGTCCTGCATCTTGTCGGTGTTGAACGGCGTCACGATCTCCGGGTAGGTGAGGTTGAGCGCGATCGACTTAGGCACGCCCACCTGGTCGATACGTAGATTCGGATCGGCCGTGATGACGGTTCGCGCCGAGAAATCCACTCGCTTTCCCATGAGGTCGCCTCGGATGCGACCCTCCTTGCCCTCGATGCGCGCCTTGATGGTCTTGAGCGGTCTTGAGCCGCTCTTCTGCATGGCTCGCGGCAGACTCGGTATGTTATTGTCCGACAGCGTGGCCACGTGGTACTGCAGCATCTTGTGATTCTCGAGGATGACGTGCGCGGCGGCGCCGGCCGCCTCGCTTTTGATCAGCTCGTTGTTGGCCTTGATGATGTCGGCCAGCTTGTGTGTGAGGTCGTCCTGGTTCTTGGCTGAGCCGAACGTCATGACGGCCGGCCGCACGCAGAGCGGCGGCACCGGCAGCACCGTGATAATCATGTAGTCGGGCCGGGCGAACTTGAAGTCCATACCGAGCAGGAAGCACTCGTCGTCCGAGATGTGCTTGAAGATCTCGTAGACGCGCTCGGCGGTCAGGTTGATCTTCTTCTCCTGCGAGTTCTCTTTGACGTGCTCCCATTCGGCGGTGAGGTCGAGGCCCGAGCGGCGGATGCGCGGCTGGTACCGGCCGCAGCCGCCGCGGCCCTTCACACGGCCCGGGCCGTCGCCGCCGCCGTCCTTCTGCAGGTCCAGCTCGCCGCCGCCCTCGCACATGTTCTTACTCTTGCACAGGTCGTGCACGTGCGTCAAACGCTTGCGCGGCTGGCCTTTGGACTTGAGCACGATTTCCTTGATCTTAGGATTTGTCGGCGTGACGAGCAGCTTGGAGCAGTTGAAGCAGACGCAGCGCAGGATCTTGATGCTGGTGTTGAGGAAGCCCGGGTGGAAGACGGGCTTGGCCAGGTCGATATGGCCGAAGTGGCCGGGGCACTCTGTCATGTTGCCGGTGCACGTCTGGCAGCGTGAGAGCCTGTCGATGACGCCCTGGCGCGGGTCCATCAGGCCGCCCAGCTTGGGCCGGCCGCCCTCCATTGTCTCCGGGTACTTGATGCCGCCCTCGGTGACCGACATGCGGCGCAGCTCGTCCGGGCTCAGGATGCCGAACTGGATCCGCTTCATCTCGCGCAGAGGCGCCTTCGAGTCACCCGACGGCGCAGCCATGGCGGCGCGGCTGGGGCGTGGCTGGGGCGCGGCTGGGGAGCACCGCTCGGTCACTGGTCCGGCGCGCCCGCTCTGCAACAGGGCTGACGCGCCGTCAGTGCAGGGAGCGGGAGCGCCGCCAGAAGCACCGTGAGGGTTCATGTCAAGGTTACAGACATTTCAGCGGCATATGCTTGACTGATCCCACACACCATTTGCAAACCACCTGGACACCAAGTACTGGTATCAGGGAGGATACCACTCAATGACTACTGACCACAAGGAAATTTGCATTTGAAATGTACTTCTGTGCACTACCACCATACGCCACCAGACGTAAATGTCAAATTAAATTTAATCATTGAAATCAGTGCCAGACTAAAAAAGCGTTATCAGCAAACAGTTCGGACATCTCGGTGGAAACACTGGTTAGCCAACACCAGCTAGCGAGTGACCAGCACCGCGGACCAGCTCTGCAGCCAGGTGACCGGCACTGCGGACCAGCTCTGCAGCCAGGTGACCGGCACCGCGGACCAGCTCTGCAGCCAGGTGATCGACACCGCGGACCAGCTCTGCAGCCAGGTGACCGGCACCGCGGACCAGCTCTGCAGCCAGGTGACCGGCACTGCGGACCAGCTCTGCAGCCAGGTGACCGGCACTGCGGACCAGCTCTGCAGCCAGGTGACCGGCACCGCGGACCAGCTCTGCAGCCAGGTGATCGACACCGCGGACCAGCTCTGCAGCCAGGTGACCGGCACCGCGGACCAGCTCTGCAGCCAGGTGACCGGCACTGCGGACCAGCTCTGCAGCCAGGTGACCGGCACCGCGGACCAGCTCTGCAGCCAGGTGACCGGCACCGCGGACCAGCTCTGCAGCCAGGTGATCGACACCGCGGACCAGCTCTGCAGCCAGGTGACCGGCACTGCGGACCAGCTCTGCAGCCAGGTGACCGGCACCGCGGACCAGCTCTGCAGCCAGGTGACCGGCACCGCGGACCAGCTCTGCAGCCAGGTGATCGACACCGCGGACCAGCTCTGCAGCCAGGTGACCGGCACTGCGGACCAGCTCTGCAGCCAGGTGACCGGCACCGCGGACCAGCTCTGCAGCCAGGTGATCGACACCGCGGACCAGCTATGCAGCCAGGTGACCGGCACCGCGGACCAGCTCTGCAGCCAGGTGATCGACACCGCGGACCAGCTCTGCAGCCAGGTGACCGGCACCGCGGACCAGCTCTGCAGCCAGGTGACCGGCCACCGCGGACCAGCTCTGCAGCCAGGTGATCGACACCGCGGACCAGCTCTGCAGCCAGGTGACCGGCACCGCGGACCAGCTCTGCAGCCAGGTGACCGGCACCGCGGACCAGCTCTGCAGCCAGGTGATCGGCACCGCGGACCAGCTCTGCAGCCAGGTGACCGGCACCGCGGACCAGCTCTGCAGCCAGGTGATCGACACCGCGGACCAGCTCTGCAGCCAGGTGATCGACACCGCGGACCAGCTCTGCAGCCAGGTGACCGGCACCGCGGACCAGCTCTGCAGCCAGGTGACCGGCACCGCGGACCAGCTCTGCAGCCAGGTGATCGACACCGCGGACCAGCTCTGCAGCCAGGTGACCGGCACCGCGGACCAGCTCTGCAGCCAGGTGACCGGCACCGCGGACCAGCTCTGCAGCCAGGTGACCGGCACCGCGGACCAGCTCTGCAGCCAGGTGATCGACACCGCGGACCAGCTCTGCAGCCAGGTGACCGGCACCGCGGACCAGCTCTGCAGCACACCCCGCCTGCTCCCCCCGCCGCCAACACGACTAGAACTGGCCGAGAACTTCTCTGATCTTGTCAATGCAGGGAGTTTGGTCACTGGAGTTCGGCTTCTGGCAGCCACACATAATCGGAACCGATCCGATTCTACCACGACTTGTGACATCGATGTTCGGATAAAAACATCATGGCAATATCGCAGGTGATGTGCCATTGCACATCTTGAAATAAGTGTCATAGTTTAAACCAAATGATGGGATTGGGGGTAGACTTGGACTCGCCAGGAGGCCGGAAAGCAGGCTGCTTGAACACTGATCACTCTCTGTCCCAAAATGGAAAACAAACATTTTCCCCCCACCATACCTTACTTCATTCTACACACATCAGTGCGGCGGCATGTCCCCACACGATTTTATTTCCCAGCCAAGGTACAGTACTTCCTGACACTGATATACTTCAGTGAGGAAGCATAATGTGCTGCACGGCGCCACTCGCTCTGGACCCCATCTAGCCTTTTTTCGGTTCAGTGCTTTTTGGCCCATAAGCCAAGGGTCAGTATTGGGACATGCAAACCAACACGATATCCCTTCAAACGCCAGTGAAAACATCTCGTGACTTGGATTTGGAGGAATTGTGTATCAACAATTAATTGGGGGACATATGTGAGCTACCTGGATTTATAACGCCAACGTTCCTCCATAAAAAGGCTCCGAGCAACAGAAAGCAACAAAATTGGTCCTATCACCCAGGCACTACTAGACTAGGGCCAAGCTGTTCACACATTTCTTAAATGAATTTCAGCATGATATACAGCCAAACAAAAGCAGACTGTTATTCCCTCACCCGTGTCGCACGTTAGTTGTAATCTATAAAAAACCTCCTGGCATGCATAACGTAATTGATAAATGGTCCCATAAGCACCACCACAGAAGGCCGGACCAGACCGGTTAGAGGGCCGGACCCTCAAAAATCAGTTGGAGGGTCCCTCCATCCCTTTTGCACCGATTGCGGCCTCCCCTGGAACTGTGAGGGTTTCTTTGCCAGTCAGCTGACCGAGACACCAATACAGGAGAGTCGGTTCTGCGCCGGTCTGGGCCCTGAGGCCCGTTTTTCAAGTAGGGGCAGTGCCGAGGCCTACAAATGCTGATCAAACACCTGATGCTCAGGCCAATAAAACCGTGAAGGGTGCCTGCGCTGATCAGGAGCTCAAGGTGCCTAACAGGGGACCCCTATCGGCAATAGAGCTGAAGTCGACTAGCGGCACATTTTCTGAACACGGACAGGAGTGACCTCGAATGTCAAAAGACTTCTGCGTTGGTCAGGACCCTCTTGACAATGGAAGGAAGCATGAAAAATGATGTCGCAAAGGGGCACACTCAACATGAAACAATGACCTCTCTGTCAAAAACCCCAGTACCGAACGAGAGGCCCTCTGCACCATTCCAGGCGAGGCCCCATGAGGCGATTTGCTGTCTTGACACCAATGACCGAACTCCTGCGCCGGTATGGGATCCTTTTGCGTCAGTGATAATCCCCGCGTCGATCTTGTGCCAGATGCCCAGGCCACAGGGTCTGCCGCATCATGAACGGGACCAATGTATAACGCATTCCCTGAGGGTCACCGCATCGCCATAAAAGCAGCTGCTAAGCACCCAGGACAGGAATGGAAGGCTCTTCAGCTCGCGACCAGTACATTTCACCTGTGCCATTTCGAGGTTGATTCTCTGAACGGAATTGGCAGTTGATGGCAGATGAGCTGTATGCGCGATTGAGGTTACGTCATTGAGTTATGAGTCCGTCGTGCTCCACATACTGTTCTATTCTGGGATCGATCTGAAAATCGCGCAGGTGAAATGTACGCCCCGGGGATACGTTCTGCACAAATACGAATTCATTTCATGGCACGTTCGATGGTACGGTTTTTCCATACGATGTCGTTTTTGCCCGCTCGTCGACCCCCGTGAAATGATAGCTGCTGAGACAACGCGAGGCCCACGGAGACTGCAACGCCCAGCGTCAATTTGTTCTTCCTTAGATCGTGGGTGCTTAAAACTATTTAACATAACTTTCCGCTGACGAAGTTTGAACAACTGATGATTATTGCCATGCGAACAGGGGATAGGCATGTTAAAACAAATTTTGAACCCTTTGGAACCGGACCGTCGCGGCGCGAAAGTGAGTGATTTTAAGTCTGAAGTGTCATTCAAGTAACCGCCAAAAATTTTTTTAATGGGAGCAATGCAAATTCGATATGGGGACCCGAAGGACTGGCTGGACGTCATTAAGGGGGCGCGGGTCAGGCCCTCAAATACCAGTTAGAGGACCCGTTCAAACCGATTAAACCTCCCCCCCCCCCCCCCCCCGAGACTATGAGGGCATCTATGTCGCTTAGGCACCACCAGTACTGAACAGTCGACTCGGCGTTGGTCTGGGTCTGAGAGCCCATTTTCCAAGCAGGGACAAGGCCAGCGCCAGCGGTTTACATTAGTCGGTGCACTCCGAGTCAATGAGGGGCCCCTGTGTCGGCCAGGGGCCTACAGCGCCTAACCGGGAGTCCTGTGTTGACTAGGGGCCCGAGTCGGTCAGTGAAACTGTTCGAGGGTGCCCGACGAGGGACTGACGTGCCCTTCGAGACTGGCGATCAACGGCCCGATTGGAAGGCTGAAGGGCCGAGAGGGTCGAAAGGCTGATGGTCTCATTAAGGATCCCGGCCCGTATGGCCGTAACCTCAAATGCCCGTCAGAATGCCAATCTCACCAATTATGGACCCTGGTTCAACACGGACCTTCATTTCGGTCACAGATCACCACACCGAACATTCGACTCCGTGCCAGTTTGAGCCCTGGTGACCCATTTCCTTGGCAGGAACGGGACCGGGGCCCGTGATTTGCACTGGTCGGAGCCCCTACGACAATGAGGGGTCCTTTGACAGTCATGCCCCACCGTGCCAATAAGGGGGAAGGCGGCCTTTATCGAAAATAATGCCAAGTCTGCCAGGGGTGACTCGGGGCCCTTACCGGGCCCTACACCCCGTTTCAGGTAAGAGCCCGTTAAGTCGCGCAGTGGCCCCTGTGCCAGTCATTGTTACCATCTGCAGGTATCATATATCCTGTTGCATCAACGAGGACTCTTGCGCCGATCCTGGGAGCAATGCCCGGGTCAGAGGGCATCCAGCGTAAGAGAGAGCATCTGTCCATCATCTATCCATGATGGAGCCTTGTAAGGGCCTCCGACTGGACCAGGCGATCCTGCCTGTATGTCGCCAGAATGGCAGCTGGTGCACACCCCGCGCTCAGACGGAATGACCTTTCAA